TAGGCCTTGTTCCAGATGATATGACAGACTTTGAAGATCCCCCCATGGAAGGCTTCACCTTCCCTGAGGAGCAGAAAGGGGATGGGATAGGGGGTTGGTATGGTGCAGTGGAGGAGGGGAGGAAGAGGGAACTGGGATTGACATGTAAAACAAGCTTGTTTCTAATTTAAATTAAAAAGAAAGGAAAACATCACCCTCCCCCCCAAAAAGAAAAGAAAAGAAAAAAATGTGGATCTGCCTACCTCAAAAACCCGAATTAGAAGTGAATCTTACCACTTCAACTGACTTAATTAAGAAAACAAAAATCCCACATAAGTGTGCCCAGGCATTTGTTTTTTAGCTGATTTCAGATGTAGTCAAATTGACAACCAGGTGACACATGTGTCTCACTTTGTAAAGCTTCTGTAAGTGCCACCCTGTGAGAGGAGGGAATGGTGATGGCGTCCAAGCCAGAGAGGAAACTGTTCATTCTGTTCTTTAGACTGGCAACCATATCTATTTCCAAAGTTTACTTTCCTCCGTAGAAAAATTGTGCTTTGCATTTCTACAGCTATGTGACAAATTTGAATAAATTCAATATTTCCTCCTCACCTTCATATTATTTGTTTGAAAATAAGCATAGGTGGCGAATATTTGAAAAAGGAATGTGCTTCTAGTTTTCAGAAAGGAGTATAACTTGGATTTTTGAAATTATATTATCTTTAGTGATTTTCTGAGAGGAACTAAAGTCCTTCACAAAAAGTGTATATGGTTATTGGGTATTTATCTTATTTATAATATAACTTATTGCATATAAATGTATGTAACTATCTTTTACCATAGTCATATGTAGAGAAATGTGGAGGAAACTATTCAGATAGAAAGTAGTCATGTAGAGTCCTCCTGCTTTCTCTGTAACCAGTTGACCAAAAGAATAAGATTGTAGGTTATTGTTCAATTTCCTTCCAGACTCCTAAAATCTGAAGAATTATGGGTGTTATAATGCCCGGAGACTTGTGAATATTTATTTGCATGCTTAATAAAATTGCCCCTTTGATATGGGAAAACATTCAGGAGGTACAGAACCCTAAGCTGTAAGGAAGAAACCCAGGAAACAGTTTCCTCATGGCTGCTCTCAATGCTGCAGACATCCAGTCAGTGAAGGTGGTTACTGTTTCTGATCCTTCAGGAACGTTCCCATGCATACTGATTATTAATATGTAGTGGGTTCTGATGTTTCTATGATTCAGAAGGAGTTACAGGTATTTCAGATTCTTCGAAATATGATATAGTAGAGTACTGATCCTTACTTAGCCACTGTGGGGTGTGTGTCTGCACACATGCATGCTGCTACGTGTGCATCTGTGTGTGCATGTGAGGGTGTGTACCGTAAGTGGATAGAAAAATCAATACTTTTGAGCTGCTGACAGATATTCTGCCTTCATTATTTGAGGCCATGATGAAAATACAATAGCACGCTAGACCTAGGGCAAGCTAATGTCATGAATTAGTGTGCTTCTGATACTTTTTAGATGCTATGACAATTGAGGAAGCATAAACCCACAGTTCTTCTGTAAAGAAATTATTTATCATATAAAAGCAAATTGTGTCTCATCTACTCAAGAGGCCAGTTAGGGAAATGTGAACTACTGAGAAAGTAGACTTAATGCTTAACAACTATATTGCATCTTTATCTAGAATCCACATTGTATACAATACTAGATTAGTGTAGAAATCATGAAAATAGAATATCCAAGGTTCATGAGTGGAGAATGACAAGGAAAAATATCTCCTGGAATGCATATAACTAAATGGAAAAGAATCACTAGAGAATATTAGTAGAGGAAATTATGTTCCATTAACAGAGGAGGGGAGCTGCCTTAATTAATAAATTTATTCCTTCTACAGTATTTCATTTTTAACATTTTAATGAAGGTAGAATGGGATAATGGGAATAATAGTCCTCATGGCTGTGAAATTGTGTGAGCTTTGTGATTTTTATAATGCAATTAATTCCAAGTACATTTATCACCCAGGAAGAAGTCCCCTGAATCCTCAACAAACTTTGTGGTGATAAAAGTTAATACCCACATTGGAAATGTCCAAGAGCCAAAGTAAGATATGAAATAAAATGTAAGATTTGCATTTGCAACACATCTTAGAGCTTGCCTTGAAAATTATGGGGGGAAATCAGAATAGCATTATTTGGAACATGACAGCAGCTTCTGAAGTTTCAAAGGGCTGGAGGACAAAGAGGTGGCTCTGTTTCCAGTCTCCACTTTGATAGCTGGAGGCCTGCTCTGTAAGGTCACAATGGAATCCAGGTAATTTTTGATGAGATCAAGAGAAAAAAAAAAGTAAGAAAAAAGCCAAGTGAAGCCTCTAGCTCTGGGTCTGGTGCTTAGGCAGGCTTCATCCAGAGACCTTCCTCTTCTGAAGGAAGGTCAGTCAGCCGGTGTGTAGAGCCACCGTTGATGACCAAGTAGGTGGGAGTCACTCCAAGGGTCAGCATGGCACAGGAAAGACAGGCAGACAGGTCAACACTGGTGTCAAGGGAGAAGATTGTGGCTTGAGAGCGGTTTAGACTCTGAGCAAACCTGGCGTTCTTCCGCTGCCCCTTGTCCTGCATTCTCCATTCATGTAACAAATGCCTGTCGTGTGCAGACGGCATCAGCCTTCTGAGAAAGCTAAAAATCCTGCACAGAGCTGAGTGTAGCTCCTGAAGGTGCCGAATCCCGGTGAGGGCAGAAGAGGTCTCACAAAGCCGCTGCTTTCCCAGTGATTGAAAAGTGAGTAGTCTGCTTGGGTTTAAAAGGATGCTTCCGAAGGCGGTCACAATTCCACACGCTTACAGAGTCTGTGCAGTCACCGCTGTGCTTCAGAACCGAGTCTTAAGTGGCTGTTTGTTGTTTTGCCCGCACATCTGGACACTCTAGCACTTTATGTTAGGCCGGTTTGAGTTTCCACTTTTGGATGGACTTTGTTAGACTTTGGAGAACTAGTTTGAAACAGTCCTAGAGTTTTATCCATTTCCTCTGCCCTTCCCCCTCCCACAGACAAGAGGAGAGAAAACCAAGTGTAGTGCTTGGGGCTAAACCATAAAATTAAGTCACATCAGGAAACAAAAACAAAAGGAAAAACACAGAGAAAGATCTGAGCGCACACACAAACTACAGCCTCTGTGAACTCACATAAAAATAAGCAGGGGACAGGCACTGTGGCACTTTCAGAGCGGGGCATTATTCGCAGGAAAACAGCGAGATTCACTACGGAGGACATTATTCTTCAGAGAGTGACAGGGTCTCATTCAGAGCACCAGGACTGATGGTGCATGCACGGCCAGCTTGCCAAGCAGCTCAGCACTGGGGTGCAGGTCCCCAACGGTGAACTGAGATCATTGCTGAGGACACTCAGAGATCACATAAGGGACACTCTGTTTGCTCTCTGGGAGATGCAGTTCATCTGCACTAATTGCGGGCTTGGGAGCCTGGAGAAGGCAGCTCTGTGCCCACATACTGTATTCCCTTTGTTGGGGAGCTCTCATGGGCCGCTCCTCCAGGCATTGTGTGTGTGTATTGACAGAGAGCCTTTAAAATATATGTGCATTTCTAATTCTTTGCACTGGACTTACTCATGGCTGCTGAGAGGAAGCCAGCAGACAATAGTGAGTTACTTTCCGGAAAAGTTAGCAGATAACTTGTATAAGAAAAGAAGTCAAGGAATCCAGTTACTAGGTTTATAGGACTTCACTTTGCTGAAGAATCCAATCTTTGGATAGATAACTACTTATCTATTAACTGTCTGTTTTGATATTTTTAAAGTTTGGGAGATCAGATGCTTTTGTCTATACAAACTGTATTTTTTATAGAAAGTAGACTTTTGTGTACCTCTCTTTATATTATACAGAGACTAGAAGAAGAATTCAGGCGCAGAGGCATACATCCAAAGTCCCAGCACTAGGGCAGGTGAGGAGAGTGGCTTGCGATTTGAGGCTCTCCTGGGACTTAGAGTGAGATCCAAATCAGCCTGGACCATGTAGTGATAAACCTTTCTCAAAAACAAGATAAATAAGCATAACAAACAAAGAAAGAAACAAGCAAACAAAAAACCTCAAAGAAACAATAACACTATAGATTAAAACTTGGAAAAATATGTTGTTAAAGGCATTGAGTAATATAAAACCATAATAAAAAATAAAGTCAAGACAGTACAGATTTGACAGTCTCTAGATGGTTATTGTAACTGCCAAAAACACAAGGATTAACAATCTAAGGTATTTAAAGATACATGCACCAATGATGATTTTGATGATCATCTTGATTGTGCTAAAAGGACGTAGGAAATGAGTAAATCCTATCTCAGGATGTGTCTATGTGCAAAAACTAGTCCTGCTCTTAAAGCTTTGCTCCCTCATAAGCCTAATTTTGGCGCTTATAAGCGTTACCAAAATGAACTATTTTCTCTTTGCATATTTAGGATTTTGAACGAAGACTCCAAAATGAGAACTAATGATTTGAATACAGGCATTAGATTCTGAGGGCTAGGGATGCAGCTCAGTGGAGGCGTCCTTGCCCGGCGTGCACCGGGTCTTCTGCTATAATCCTTGCATCGCAAAAAGCAAACAGTAGCAAAGAGTCGCGTCTTTGCTATTTGATGTCATAATCCTCTCTTTCTAAAGGCTCGTGTGTGCCCGAATATACACGTATGCACATACATACTCAACCCTAGGACACCGAACGGGGGCCGGGTAAGTCAACTGTTGCTATGGAAGCAGGGTAGCAGCTGGGTATGGTGGCATTCATCTGCAACCCCACACTTGGGGAAATAGATAGGAGGATCTGGTGGGGCAATCAGTGATGTCTAAGTGACAGACCTTGGCTCAGAAAGTAAGGTGAGGAGCAATAAAGGGAATCATCAGTATTGGCCTAGGATTTCCATACAGGCAAGCACGCACAGTTTCACCCCTTACATGAGTTCATGCAACAAAAACTGGCAGTCTTACAGAGACTAGAAAGACTGACCTGGTGTTATGACTTCGCCGTTTCCATTGACCACAGGCCTTTCTTCCTCCTCCTCTTCTGGAGGTTCTATACTTGCTTTCTCCATGTTGCTCACTGATTTATTTCTCTTCCGTTTCCCTTCAGCACTTGGAGTAGCTCCCGGAAGTATCTGGTCTGTTACATTTAATAGTAATGGTGCTGGTTCAGCTGGAGGCTTTGGAGTACCGTAGTAATTGTCTGCAAAAGATACCCAGACATTTAGAATTAAATGTTTTTCCTACATGGATGTGGGTTTTAAAGAATGGAAATTATATCAATTTGTAGTATACTTATCCATCAATTACCACATTGCCATATATGGTTTTATAAGCACATATTGTATATCTTTATTTCTATTTCACTGTGCCTTAAGGCACAAGATAAAGGCCTCTGTTACTGTCTTTGAGTGCTTGAACGTGTTGTGCTTTCAAAGGAGCTGTGTGTATCGCCTTCAGTTGGCAAACAGCTCATTTCAAGTCTATTTAAGCCTTTAAAAGAGAATGTTAATCTTAAGGAGTAAAGGTAATCTTTGGTTTTGTTTTTATTTTCAAATCTTGCATCATTTTAGAAAGTCAAAGGATTCTTACTTTTCCTCTCACTTGAGCAGGGCTCTGACTGGCTGTCTGCACAGAGCTGTACCTCCATACCAGGTCTGCGGCTCCTGGAGCTGTGGGCAGTGAACTGTTTCTCTCATTGTCCTTTAGATTATCATTGCCCTTTCTTCATAGCTACAGTATCTGAGCTGTGGATTTGTTCCCCCTCCCCCTGACTGGGTCTGGGAGAGTTCATTTAGGAAGATGCAAATTATTATTTCTTTTGCTTGTTTGAAACTTACATGTTCTATACTTTAATGTGTTATTTAATATTTATACATGCACATAATGTGTTTGGATCATATTCATAACCAATTTTATCCCCCTCAAAATCATATTTATCTCTATAACATGAGGCTGGAATATAACAGGCATGCATTAAATGTCTGTTAAATAATGCAATTGAATTTTTTCTGTGTTTGCATGCTTAAGGCAAATCATTTTATTTAAAATGTTCAAAATGTGATTGGCAAAGAATGTGTTACTTTGAGAAACCATGTTCAAATTTTAGCTTCAGTTTCACACCTGTGTTGGCGTGTTTAGTTAACTGAGTAATTGATGGGCTCCCATATTCTGTTATTAAGGCCTTCATTGGTACTGACTGTCCACTCAAGCATTCTAATGCATGTTTGAGAAACTGCGATGGTTACAATAAGATCTTTATCTTACAAAATGCTTAATAATCTGGTATGGAAGTCCACATTTGGCACCAAGTAAGCAAGCACTGTAATGGAAAATGGGACCAAGTCCCGCAAGGAGACGAGAGAAACGGAGTACAGCTGTCTGTCTGCAGAGGCTGCTGAGATCATCTAGGACAGCAGCCTGCTGTGAAGAAACAGCTCTTAAAGTCAAAGACATAGATAGTGTCTAGATGAGTCTTTCTGGATAATTGTAATTGAAGCAAATTACTTGACCTCAATAAGGCTCAGTTCCTTTATGTGTAGACAGGGAACAGCAGTAATTGCTACGGTCACTTGTGTTACAGCTGGTAAACAACAAAAACCTATTCCGCTTAAGTTAAAATGTGATGAGTGTCAGCAAGTTAAAAAGCTGTGAGACGGTTACTAGACAGGGAGTTCAAAATATTTAGAAAATAGGTAGAAACAAAGGAATTAGGAGTGAAGCCAGGACACAATGGTGACCTTTTTCAAAGACAGGGTCTGAGGCTGGACTACACTCACTATATAGTTGAGACTAGTCTCAAGTGCCTGATTGTCCTGCTTCCACTTCCAAGGTGCTGGGACTACAGGCATGTGCTACACAGCCTGTGATAGCTGGTTTCTTTGTCCAGCCATAGAATCTGCACACATTTGCCTCTGGGGAATGAATTCCAAACTCTGCTCAGCCTCCCTGATTTGCTCAAGCCCTGTGAACACACCCAGCAGAGTTGTTATTGGCTGAGCCTCAACCATGAGAGGGTTAGTCAGCTGCCAAGGCAGACAAAATGTTTGCTCTACTGTGATTTCAGAAGAGGGAGGCAGCAACGATTGCCAACTCAGATGGATAAAAGATGACTGGTTGATCTGGGTGTGGGGATTGGCATGTGAGCTGAAGGGCCAGACTCATCCTGAATGTGGTGTCTCTGATCTGCAAGCTTGGGGCTCAGGTGAAGGGAACTGGAAAAAAAGAGGAAGCTAGAACTACACATGGCTCCAGGTTTCCTGGCTGCTGCTGTCACCTGGAGACAGTAAGTTCCAGAATCGTCAGAATGTCGATGTCCACCCCATAAGTTGTTCTAAGGCTTCCATTTAGAACTGGGATCACCACTGTCTCCTTGTTCTTAACCTTTCAACTTCTTGGACTCTTTAGCTATTGACTCTTCTGGATTCCCAGCCTACAGATTATTTAGTCTCTGACTGTGTAAGTTCATAATTTCAGATACTCAGACACTTCACAAAATTTTACTTTATGAAGTGGTTATTCTGTGTATAGGGCACTTTAAGCAGACGTCTGAAAAACTGATGCACATCTTGCTTAGGATTACTTTTAATTTGATTTACAAAATTTTAAATAAATCAAAACTTTATATATGGAGGCTGAAACAAAAAGATTAATTGTTGCAATACTCAATGTATGTGTATTTCAGCATTCTTAATAACTAGCAAAAGTTTAATCACATCATTACACTTTCTGGGAAATCTCAATATATACTTATCTAATGGCTATAATGCCAAAATAGTAAATAGCTCTTGCCTATCTCAATTACTAATATGATTTTAAATTGTGTCTGCCATGGTTGATACTCTCAGATATACCCAGTACAAGAAAAATATATCAGACCTCAATATTTTTCTCTCTGTATTTTTAAGTTATAATACGCTTAGGTAAATTACCTCTTAGTAATTAGGAATAAATGTATAGACAACCTAAAATAAATGTTAAACAACTCAGAACTATTATCCACTAAGAATGGAATGCCTATAAATAAATATCCAGTATTTAGTGAAGCTAAAGTCTCAAAGACAAACAACCCCCCTAAAATATGACATGATGTTTAGTGGCATGGTTCCTGGTAAGATAAATCTGACTTTGAATGCTGTATGCCCCAAACTTGCCTCTTCTTCATGGGCTTAAATTGATTCAGTTAAAATGACTAGTCACAAAAATAGCTACAAACTGGACATGGCGGTGTACCTGGTCATCCCTGCAACCAGGAAACTGAGAGGAGGAACTGCTTAAGCCAAAGAGTTTGAGACCAGTGTGGGTAGCATGGTGAGACCCTGTCTCAAAAGTAACATCTTTTAAAAGCAAGTATAACTGTCATTCTTGTCAAGACCATTAATACAAGTTACAGAACTGGACACTATATTAACATTCTGCTTATGAACTCTTGCTCCTAATGGATACTGGAGTGACTTACCCATAGTATTGTTGCAAGGATTGATGTTAATGTTTGTAACAATAAAGTAGCATGGCTGCATCAGTGTAGATACTAGAGACAATGTGACTACTATTGGCATCTATTTATCTTGAACTTATGTAAGAGGCCCTAAGAAATTAAACTACCCCCTCCATTATATAAGAAGTAAGTAGAAAACTTCTACCTGGCCGGGCGTTGGTGGCGCACGCCTTTAATCCCAGCACTCGGGAGGCAGAGGCAGGCGGATCTCTGTGAGTTGGAGGCCAGCCTGGTTTACAGAGCGAGTTCCAGGACAGCCTCCAAAACAATACAAAGAAACCCTGTCTCGAAAAATAAAAAAAAAAGAAAGAAAACTTCTATCTGTTTGAATCCAGAATTTTACCACTTTTCAGAATAAGAAAGTAATTTCCTTTAAAGCCACAGTCGGTGAGCAGAGTACCCATTCCAAATAAAAACGGTGAATTTGCTACCAAGTCATGCAACAGGAACCGTAGATGACTTTTTCTCACATAAAATAAAGTGTGTGTCCATTTTGGGGAAGGGATGGAGGAAGCCAGCTACTCATGCCAATTGTCAGTGGCTGTTATTATAAAGAATGGCCTTTGTGTAAGCTGTTTCCGTGGACTTAAATATCAAAGCCCTCTAATTTGCTATGATCTCAGAATGGTCTGTAAAGTTATTCACTTGATTCTGCCTTCCTAGGGTAACCCATAAAAATGTGGGGGCAGAAGAGTGAAATGGCATAAAACCTGAATAAGAGGAATGGAATATAAAGTGCCCGTAATGTGTTTTATTAATTAAACTGTTTGATAAATTCCCACTGACACCTTGCAGTTTTAACTCCTTGGTAGCAGAGGTGGTAAGGCAGAAGCAGACTATCTTGTTAGGAACTCAGCTGGCCTTAAGATTTTTGCAAACCCACAAGGTCAGATTCATTCCACAGTCATCCGAAGGGAACAAGAGCAGCTTTGAAAGTAACAGGCCAGCACTTGAAGGGCACCCTGGGATGGCTCTTTCTGCATCTGACACAATAACCTTTTCACAGATGCCTTACCTGAAGGCCTTTGAATTAATGTTGTCGTCATCTTAGTTTTTCTTTTGTTTTGTTTTTCACAGCATTTTAATGGTGGGGCCAGTGTGGGGGAAGAAACAGGAACCCTTGTCAGTGAATCTCATGCTGTTCTGGTATAATGTTAATAGAAACCAAGTTGCATAAATTCTGATATGACAGTGGGAAAGGTGCTCAAAATTAGGGCTGAGGAACTGTAAAAGTCCTGGAAGCAAAGCAAACACGTTGAATTCTAACCTTTCTCACTAAATAAATCAGGTTTCCACGGTCAAAATGTAATTTAGTTATTTTTTTCATTGTAAGTTGAAGATTCAGGTGCTAATTCCATTGGGAATTATATAATAATCCTGGATCTATAATAACATGTAGTTTTTACATCAAATAACTGTATATCACGGCACTCAAGTAGAGAGGGGATTTACAAACACACATTTTTTCCTTCAAGATATCTCATATATCCAAGTCATCACACACACACACACACACACACACACACACTGCTCTATATTCTCAATGTTTTATGATGGGGAATGTCTTTCTGTATGCTGTGAATATGTTTCTCTTATTGGTTGATGAATAAAGCTGTTTTGGCTAATGGACAGGCAGGATGTAGCCGGGCAGGAAGTATAGGTGGGACTACCACACTAGGAGAATGCTGGGAGGAGAAACTCAGAAA